GTTCGAAACTACCAGCTGTTCCGCGGGAGAAAGATGAGGCTTTCTGCTCCCGTAAAGACTTACAGCCTTGGAAACCCTGTACAGGGTCGCTATGAGTCGGAACCGACTCCATGGCACATAACAACAATAACAATGTGGAACTTCAGGATAAACACGACTGCTAATACAAGGTCAGTGGTTCAAATCCACCAGCCACTCCTTAGAAATGCTATACAGGGTCTGAGTTGGAACAACTCGACACTTAAAACTAAGGAGGGATGATGGTGGCACAGTGGTTAAAGCACCAGACTGCTAGCAAAAAATATCAGCGGTTCCCAGTTTGTCCCATGGAAGGATGTGGCCATCTGCTTAGAAACCCTATGGGCAGTTCCACTCTGTCCTATAGGTTCCCAGTCCGAATTAACTTGACATCGGATTTGGCTTTTAGAATTAAGGGTCAGGATATGGAGAGACATGTTGGAACACCCCAAGTACAGATTGGGAGTGGAGATTCACCGGTTAACAGTAATGTGGAGTGACGCGCTAGAGGAAGCTGGCAGCTGGACTGGGAGAGGGCGGGCGATCAGGGAAGCTTCCTGGAGGAGACTTCTCAGTTGAACACTGAAAGGTGAGGAGGAGCTCGCCAGGTAAATGGAGATAATCCAGCGCTTTCCCAGAGAGGGGAATAAGTATGTGTAATTGAGGAATATGATCTCCAACTGTGCTTATGACAATATTTTGACGACGGTATCGAGGTAATCATCACACAAAGGGTTAGGATGTTGTTAAACTTGTTTATTTTCATTTTCCAGTTTGGTATTGCTTTTGAGCTTAATTATACTTGTAGTCGTGAGTCCCACAATCTCTTTGAGCCCGCTGGAGTGGCGGCGAAATGGCAGCCTTCAGAGCTCGGAGGCTCAGAGCTGGACTACCTTCAGACAAGCATCAGCAGTCTTAGTGTGGGCGGATGGCAGGGCTAGCGGGAAGGTGAAGTCGAGCTAGCGCTCCCGCTTCCTTTATGCCCTCCCAACGCTCGCGAATTCGTTTCCTAGGGCTCTGCTCTTTCCCTTTGCTACCCACTCCATGCATACCCTTGGGAGATGTGAGTTAGGCCACTTGCCTAACAGCCTCTCCACTGTGGCTCAGTGGTAACCATTCAATTCTGACAGGGCAATTTGTGGCTCAGAGGAATTAACTAGCTCAGTCCTGGATATAAGTGGTGGAGCAGGGATAGTGACCCTGCAACAAGTCTGGAAGCCCTAGATGTGCCTATGCTCCAATGTTGTTAAGTGCCGGAACCAGTTCTGATCCATAGGGACATTGTATAGGCTGAGAAGCAGCTGGTGAGTTTGAACTGTGAACTTTACAGATCAAACTGACTTTGCAGTCCAGCACATTAACCCACAGTGCCACACCCCCAATGGCTGACCCCTTATCCTGAACCAGGAAATCTTGTCTCCAGGTTTCACCCAACAAGCAGGCTGCCAGTTCCCTCTAGCCCCTTAACCCCCACCCCAACCACCACATAATGAGGAGTCCTGGTGTGGCACTGTAGAATAAACACTGGACTATGAACCTCAAGGTTCCTGGTTGAAACCCACCACCCAGTCCTCTGAAACTCTAGAGTAACTAGAATTGAACTGACTCAACAGCATTAACAATGGGGTTCCACAACCTCCTTTGATCATGGAAACAGCAAAAGTTGAAAGACTGGAGGAAAGATGGCTTCTCAGGTCCCAGGAGTGGTTGGACCACCTGCTACCCACAGGCACTCATGGAAGGGTCTTCATCTTCTCTAGATTAGTGAGCAGCCAATTCTCTGGCTTCCTGGTTAGATAGCAAGGGGCTGCTCCACAGGTTGGGGATCCTGTGAGAATTAAGTGAGCATGACTATCCACAGCATAGAATCCCTGCTCTTTTAGGGTCAGGGAGCCCACTGCTTCCACCAATTATTGAGAATGACAAAGAGTTGGAGAGAGCCTCATTGGATATCCTTGTGGGCTTCTGCGGTTTCACCTCTCCAATACCAGGGGAAGGCTTGGATAGGTCTCGTAAGGCTGCTTTTTCTAAGTCACCTTCCACTTTCCTATCTTAACAGGGGGATGGAAGATCCAGAATCTTGCTTCCTAGTTAAAACGTGTTCCTAGCTAGACTGAGGTATGACACAAGTTCAGACTCTGAGGTAGGGAAACCACTGCAGATCTCCCCAGCTTAGGGGCACCAGAAAAGGCTGTCAATACTTGTTTCACAGCGACACTGAATCTCTGGGTTCCCCATTCACACTGTGGTGGGTAAGAAGCAAGATAGCCAAGGACTTGTGCCGAGGGTAGCTGGAAGGAAAGGCTGACTACGGTAGTGTATTATGGGCTTACTTACCTGTTAAAGCTAGCTGGTCTCTTTACCATGAGAGGAAGTAAACCAAGCCAGTTGGAGGTTTGCCCTGGCTCTAGACAACTACCATATCACAGGGGCTTTTGGAGGAACCAGGCTACTTTCACTTTTGGGTATATAGGTCAGAGAAGGGGAGGGAGGGAAAAGGAGCAAAAGAGGCTCTCTCAGTCTCTGAAATAATGGCTTTGAGAATTGCTACTCAGGATGCAATCCTTGGACTAAATCCGATCCCTTGGTTAAAACAGGGCATAAAGTTTATTTACATGTATCTGTACATTTTGAGGGACAAGTCAGGACTTCACAGAAACACAGAAAACAAAAGCATTCTTTTTGAAGGGAAGTAAGTCAGGCATCAGACTTTCACTGCAGCTGTCAGAAACAAGACAGATGAACACACTTATACACCATGAACTAGGGAGGAACTGAAAAATGAGTAAAACAGCCTTTCAACACTGAAAATCCATGGGGAGGAGAGGCACGGGGTTGCTGCAGTAATTCCCCAGCATAAGAAATACTGTCAACAACCAAGAAGTCCCAATTGGTGAGACAAAGCCAGTGTCTTATGCCTGGTCAAGATCTTGGTTCAGAGACCCTGTCTTAGATGAGCTTGGAGACAAGTCCTCAGCCTTGATCCCAATCACCAAGCAGACTACTCAGGTAGTAAGTTAACTTTCGGTCTTCTTTGGTTGGCTTTTCTCCCCGTTCTGTGCTTCGGGCGTTTCAGAATGAAAGCTTCAGCAGCTTTGTGTGGAGAGGTAGTGGCAAAGTGGCTACAGTGTGATGTAGTTTTAATAGAAATTTTATTACACAGCCATAATGTAGTCAACACGTCTCCAAATCCAAATGATACTAAATACAGATCTACATGGTGGATCAGAATGACTCCAGAAAATTATATGAATTCTATTAATTTTATGTCTTTTAAAACCAGAAAGAAAAAAAAAAAAAGATTCAAGTTGATCATGATGGAAGGTCTCAGCAGCCTTCAGGGCTCTGTGATTCCACATTTACACAGTTGTCTATAATGAGTGTTGGTCGATGGACTTTTCAGGCGTCTATGATTTTAGTTAAGTCCATCACCACTCCTTTGCCCAACAGCATTGTCACAGCTCCACATAGCTGTGACAGTTATCACGATCAATTTTACAGTCACAATACTTTAAAACCATCCATTTCTGCTTTTAAATAAAAAATGTAAACTAAGTCAAAGCAACACCGAGACTCTACTAAACCCAGAAGAGTTATCAAGTTCATTTTTACGTTTAAATACAACTTAAGTCCATGATTCCCCCATCACTCCCCTTCCTCACATAAAAGTTGGGTGAAAAAGTATAAAGCAGGGCTTCTAGATTTCTCTCCCTCTTGTGGGACTCAGTAGCTCTCAGCTGTTTCTTTAGCTTAGTTCTTGGTATATATAGACAGCTGTACTTTGTTCTGAAAAGGTTTGTTAAATGCCACTTTTATTTACACTTGGAGCTTTACACCTGAGAATGATTAGCAAGCAGTCAGCTTATCTCTTTTCAAACATTTCATAAAGACATACACACCTTTTTGCTGGCTTCACCCTAGCTGCACAACAATACATATGTTTACCATATATATAGGTATACACACACAAAACTGCACATGCTTGTAACATTTGCAACCTAAATCTTTTCGAGTTTGTACTCTCCACATTCATGTTGAATACTTTTCTCTTAAAAACAACAAAATGCTATTCTTGCTCAAATAGCAAAACAGACTCACCAAGGAAGAGACTGGTATACTGGGAAGGAAAAAGATGAACTGAACTCTGCGTTCAGCCAAGAAGCTGCTGGCTGTGCCCATCGGACGAGCAAGACACTTTCACAAACCCTCCCTGAAACTAAGCCTTGGGCTTCCCTCCCACCTGTCTCCAGGGCAGGGGGCTAAACAGAGAGTTTTTTTCTGAAATGGGGGAGGCAATGGGGGGGGAGGGGAAGTTACATAGCTACAGCAGTCAGGCCTGTTTAGTAAGAAGAATCACATTTAATGAGTTTCTTTCTTGCCGTTTCAGATGCTCAAGTACAGCTGAAAAAATCTGAAACCGCTATAGACCCATGACAGACTGATACAAAGAGTACTGCATTTTAAAAAAATGATTAAAAAATCCACACACACACACACACACACACACACACACACACACACACTCTCTCTCTCTCTCAAGTAGGCCCGTCCCCCCCCTCCCCCCGCCCAAATGTACACTTTTGGAAACTAAATCAGGTTTGCACACTCCTCTTCCACAGAGATGGGAAGAGGAGAAAGATGAAGAGGAGAGAGGAAGGAAGACCGCAGGTGCCCCAGTCCCCACTCCCTCTACAAGGGTCAGGTGCCAAATGTCCAATGGTTGGGTCCAAGGCAGTCCACAGAGAAGACTGCCCAGTGCTGCTGCTATCGCCACCCAGGGCTCCAGCAAGAAACCCAGCTCCATGGTAATACTGAACACGTGCAGAGTGGCCAATGGACTGTGCTAGGTTAAAAAAATAAAATAAAAAGGTAAACACAAATCTAAAGACATGGATAAAGCCCAAGAGAGCCCAGGAGCCCAGATCCACACTGGGTGGGGTCCAGGGGATTGGTGGGAGATGGTACAGACAAGGGAAATCTATACAGCAAATGGTTTATATTACATGACTGGCAGTTTAGAGTCTCTTCCCAATTCGACTGCTGCTTTAGCCCAAAAAGGGCAAATCAAAGGAAAAGAGGAAAGGTGGGAGGGACACAGTGATGGGGCATGCAGGGTCAGAAGCAGCCGGCTGGGTGTGCTCAAATAAGCCCTCGTCGTTTTTTGTAGTCTTCCAAGTTCAGAGATCTCCTTGGAGCCCCATCCTTGGCTGGTGGAGCCTTAGAGGTTATGGCCAAAGCCTTTGACTCTATGGGAAAGAAGAGCAAATTGGCAATTGAAGTACCTACAAAATCCTTTTAATTTTGTCCTTCAATATATCAGGTAGCCTTACTGATTCTTGAAACAGACCTGCAGCCTGTCTTACCCTGGCCCCTAGCCAATCAAGAGCATATTATCTCCATTTCTTCTCTGAAATTAGGCTCCTTGCTGGCTGAGAAAGCCAGGGATCTATCTGGCACTCAAGTGTCACCATTCCTCAACCCTCATTTACCTGAGCTGGGAACTTGTAAATCAATCTTCACATCAAAATCATGTACTTTGAACAGGTCTTCTGAGAGGTCACTGGCTGACTTAGAATTCAAATCTTTATCTTTCCCCTGACCCTGAAATATGAACAGAAAAATAAACTGTAAGAATATAATTTCAAGTGAACTTCAAAACTCAGACACCACCAATGAAAAAGCTCTTGTTCAAATTCATTAACTCTTCCTGCTACGGCCCTTTCCTGATTCTCTCTTCCAGAGAGAACAGGAGTGACCACAGACAGAGTTCTTTTCTGAGGCCTAAAGCAGGGGAAGGGAAGGCTTGTGTCTGTGGGATGGGGGCAGAAAGGGTGGGCTTGACAGGTCACCCACTGATTTCAAGTCACTCAAGATGTCAGGAATTCCTGGGCAGTGTGGCTTCACAAGAAAAAGCATAACTGAGGCAAAAAACTCATTGATGTGGAAGTTTCTGGCTGTTTAAATTTTTTATTTTTAAAAGAGCTTTCACTTTTACAACTATTTAATCCTTATATGTCATCTGTTTCTCCAAATTACCCTGTGAAGTAGGCAGAGTATCTAGTATCCCCATTTACAGAGGAGAAAATTTGAATCAGAGGGCCAGAAGTCAGCTGTGATGGCCACAGGGAAGGTCCTAGTTCAGTAGTGTTAAGTTTAGAATTTAAATTATAGGTTTAAAATATAAGAGAAGTTCATTAGGTTTATAAATAACTGGGATGGAAAAGGGAATGCGCGATCATGTTTCTCAACGTGGAAAAATCAAGCCCAAACTAGGCAGGTTCTTGCTCTGGTGTCTCAGCCAGCACCATAGCTCAGCACACCACAGGGTAGGACTGCACTTGCCTTGCTCATTTCCTTTGGAGCATCTGGTAACACTCCAGAGCCATATTTTGCATTCAGCTGGGCCAAGATGGCAGCTTGAACAGCTGGGTCTCTGGACTGAGAGAAAAAAACAAGTTATTTTAGAGACTGTTCAGTACTCATACAGACCTACTGTCAGATTCTTGCCCACCTGCCACCACTAACATCACAGGCACCACAAGGGAGCCAGCTCAGTGAGGGATCCTCAAATTAGCAAACAGGCAATGAGAAGCTCTACAGCACAGCCCAGTCCTACCTGGTGACTCAGTCAACACATATTAACATCTACTACACTGGTTTACCCAACCTGGTACAAGGTACTTACTTCAGAGACTTTCATAAATCCATGCCAGTTTCTCACCTACTATATAGCCTCCTGGTGTGGCACTGTAGGATCAGCGCTAGACTGTGAACCACAAGGTTGGCAGTTCAAAGCCACCAAATGCTCCTTGGAAACCCTATACAGGGTTGCTATGATACTTAACAACATATAGCCTACAGCAAGATAAGAAAACACCCAGATCCAAGAGCTTGAGGCAATCAAATCCCAGGTAAGCCAATATTATTTTTAACTTCTTTATTAATCTCCTAATGGAACTAATTTTATGTCCTAGAATCTAGGTCCTGACTAAAAACGTCCTCTTTAGACACTCACATTAGAAACAATGGTAGGTTTGCACTGACGCCTGGTAAAGGGATCCATCTGTTGGTTTTTCATGTTGTGACTTTCAGCCTGAAACAAAGAAACAAAGAACATGCATTACAGAACTGCATCTTGTTCCCTTGTCCTGTTGTTCATAAACCTACATCCAAATAAGTCTCTGCAAGGAACTGGGGGGAGAGGGGGAGAATTAAATGTTGGTCATCATCTTTTTCCCTTGAAGAACATTAGAGCAGATTATATATATATATATATATATCCACACACACACATATATATATATCCACAACGAAAACAGAAATGGATAAAAATGAGTATCTGTAGGGTATAATCTAAGGGTGAGAAGGGGTAACAGGACAGAACACTGTTGCTTTTTAATAAAATTATGTGGGTGTATGTGTGCAAAATACTGCCTCTCTGTGGTGGTCTACATGTTGGTATAATGTTGGGAACTGTATCACTTGTATTCCAAATACCAGCAGGGTCACCCAAGGTGCACAGGTTCCAGTGGAGCTTCCAGACTAAGACTAGATGGAAAGGTCTGGCAATCTACTCTAGAAAACTAGCCACTGACAACCATATGGAGCCCCAAGGAACATGCCCGTCTTGCTTTCCTTGGACATATCATCAGGAAGGACCAATCATTGGGGAGGACATCATGTTTGATGAAATAGAATAAAGGGATCCTCAGCAGTGAACTTGAACATGCATCACAGGATGATACAAAAACTGACAATGTTTCATTCTACTGCACATAAAGCCTACGAGCTATGAATTGGGAGTCAACTTCACAGCTGCTATCTATCTGTGTATAAAGAAAGAATGAGTGGGCCAAGTGCACGAATTACTTCAACAATTAAAAAATCATATTAAGTATGATGCAGAAAATATTTCATATTATTTTATTAATTAAAAATTTTTCAGTAATCCAGAAAAGGTTGTCTTACTCACCACAAGGGCCTTCTCAGACTCTACAATGTTCCACTCCCGGTTCCGTTGGTTGATGTAACTGCGGGGTAAGAGGGATGAGTCAGTGGACGGTGAATAGAGGGAAGGAGGTGACTATGGAGCTATGTGGAGTCAGCGCAGAACAGAACATACAAGGCCAGAGGTCCAACTTTTGGCCAAGGCGTATGGACCACGGAAAAGGACCCAACCAAGATAGATTCAGTAACACACCTGATGGCAGATATATTCTTGGTCCGCTGGCGGTCCAGGGCCTCTGCCCTCTCCTCTAGTTCATTCAGCTGGTCTTGAATTTGCTTGGCCTTGTCTTGATCCCCTAGGTCTTCAGCCATGGCCTGCACACAGAGAGATGGTTAAGTTCCTGGCTCTGACTGGTGCTACACCAAATATTCCCTTACTTTCAGCATAAGCAAGATACCTCATATATGAACAAATGACAGCAGGTGTGAAAGAACATTTAAAAAGTACTTTATAAAAGCAAGGTATGATTTATATTGCAGTAGCAGCATCTTCCCGTGTAGCTACCTGGCACTTAAGCTCTGGTGGCAGTGTTGTGTAATATTAAGCCTAGAACCCAAGTCCTACAAGGGTAACCACCATAACAAGACTTATCCCATCCTCATGTGGAGAATGGAAAACCACCCATCACAGCTGGGCTTGGCAACATCATTTATCTGTTCAGACTAAATGCTGAATAGAGACCCCAGGATCTCTATTACACATAAAACTAAAGGTACCTAGAATGAAAAACGGAATAAGCAAGATTAATTTCAATTTATAAAAAAGAAAGTGGCCAAAGAATGCTGCCCAGGTAACTAGGAAGAACTGTGTTGCTTATAATTGACCTCAGAATTTTTTTGAATTTTGTCACCACTAACTTGACAGTAGATGGAGTAAATCTGATCATGTACATCTCTTTCCAGGAAAGATGCTAGAATGCAGGTCCTTACCTTTTCTTTTAGCAGCTGAGTCTTCTTCATAGCATAGTTGGGTGGAGCTTTTCTGAATCTTTCTTTTTCTTTTACAATCTGTAACAGAGAGGGGATACCAGCAGTGAGGTATTACTAAGCTAAGTTTGTAGACAGGCTAAGTGAGCCCATTGGAAGGCAATCAGCAAGCTCAAAGGGGGTTGTTCTTCCTACAGCAGTCTCATGCTCCAGAGAGGAAGTGAGTTCATTCCAAGGGATACTATGCTGTTTCCTGGTCACGGAGACTCTTCCTGGACAGTCTGAAGAACATGAAACAATAAACGCCTGCAGCCCTAGGGCCTGATACTGTAAAGCTAGCCATTGTCCGCGAAAACAGAAATCAAAGAATTTTATCAAAACGTTTTGGAGAAAGTTTATCAATGAAGGATCAAACCTAGCAGAATATTCAGAAACACAGGTCCTTGAATCTGGAATACATTTCTTTAGTCTATGATTTTATTAAATGAGAATATATGATGAAGCCATGGTGGTACAAAGCTTAAAGTTCTGGCTTGCCAACAAAAGGCTGGTGGTTTGAGTCCACCAGGCACTCTACAGGAAAGATGCGGCAGACTGCTTTCATAAGGAAACCCTATGGGGTAGCAGTTCTGTTCTGCCCCATAGGACCACAATTAATCAAATTAGCCATGATAATAATGGTTTTATTTTACTTTGGTCTGTAAGAAGAAAAGTATGATGAGCTACAAATAAGGAAGCTGTATTAGTATTCCTTCATTTTTATGCACAGCTAAAAATGTCAAGATTAGGGAAAGAAAGGAAAACGATGGTCTTCTCTAATCACAGGTTCTTTGTTGTTGTTGTTATGTGCTGTGGAGTCAGTTCTGACTCATAGTGACCCTGTACAGGGTTTCCAAGGCTGTAAATCTTTGGAGTACAGGAGTAGAAAGCCTCATCTTTCTCCCATGGAACAGCTGGTAGTTTCGAACTGTTGACCCTGAGGTTAGCAACGCAATTCTTAACCACTATGCTACCAGAGGTTCTTATAAACACAGGTTCTTACTGACCCTCAAAGCTCTGCGGTACCAGGTTTCTTACCTCTTCAATGTCTTGATCATTGAATTTATAATTAAGAGCTTCTTTAATAGAAAATTCCTTCTTATTGATTTCATCTAGAGTGGGCAACTGCATGCCAGCAGAGAACATCTACACAAAAACACAAGACACATTTATTAACAGGAATTTTTAGAGGACTCTCCCAGTGTTTTCACTAACTACATTGTCTCCATATACTCACTGCTTCTTTCCACTTCATGAATTCGCTTTCAGTGAATTCTTGGTTTGAGACAAACTCTAGGCGGAACACTCGTTGGTCATTGCCATGCCTACATGAAAAAAGGAGCATATTGGAAAAATGTGCACACTGACCATAGTACCAGCTAAGCAACCCCACTAAACTGTATGCTACCTCTTTCTGAGGGTCTCAATTCTAATTACCCTTCAGAATCACCTAGGCAGATTTTTTTTTAGAGTAGTCAAAGGACTACTCTAAATCAACTAAGTCAGAATCTCTGGGAATATGAACAAGGCACTGAAATTAAACATTAGAAAAAGAAAAAAGAAGTCCTACTGTGTTCTTGGCTTCCTGGTATGGCATTGTTGGATAAGCACTGGACTGTAAACCACAAGGTCTATGGTTTAAACCCACCGACTGCTCCTTGGAAACTCTAGGTAGATTTGCTATGAATTGACTCAACAGCACTTAACAACAACACAGTATTTTAATGAGCAGCCAGCATTTAGAATCACCATACCAGCTTTGGAAATCAAATGGACTTGACTAGTGCTTCAAAAGTCCATTTATGGGGACTTCTGGTAAGATGGCAGACTAGGCAGAGGCACTACACAGACACTCTGCAACAAAGATACAAGACTCCAAATAAAAGAGACACAGATGAAGGTCCTAGAAATCTGAACTTCAGAAAAAAAGTTAGAGAAGTGGACCGAGGGCTTCCTAGGAGGAGAAGCTGAGCAGGGGCTGAGTGAGAGGGAGACTGACTGGTAAACAGCCGGCCAAATGCAGAGTGACCATCTTGTGAGCAGCTTTGACAACAGAAGTTGGTTTGGTAAAGCGAAGTCACATAGGTGACTGGAAAGGTGTGATTCCTTCTTTCTCCACATGCTCCCCTGGTGACCACAGATGTGGCCAGCTCCCATCCTCATCTACCCCAGCACAGGCCCTGCTCTTCGGGAGTCCAGAGGCATGTGGTTGGGAGCCATGCAAGTGTGAGGTGGGGTCCAACAGCTGCACTGTTTCTTTGTTTGGGGGTTTGATTTTTTCCTTTTGTTGTTTCATTTATTTTATTCTTTCTTCTCTTTCCATTCCCTTGAATTTTATCCTTTTTATCTCTGTTTTTGTTTTACATAGACCAGCCAAAACCGTATCCTCTGTAGCGCCACCCAATGGACAAGGGCCAATACCAGCTCCTATACCATCTGGTCAACAGCAGCCAAACCCACCCTAAACTGAGGTACACAAATGGCAAGGGTTGAAATAGGTCTATTCTCTAAGTACACCAAAAGAACACAATTGGTGAAAGCCTAAGAATGAATCAATATACAGTCATCAATTAAATACAAATATGAAACCATCACAATGTCCCAGAGACAACAGGCAATTTTAGTTCACACAAAGAAACGAGAGAATGACACAACCTTTGGTTGTTTAAGTGATTATATATTCCTGAGTGTTTTTGTGTACATTCTTCTCCCCATCCCACCCCCCAAAAAACCAGACGGAATAGAAGCAAATACTGTTGAAAGAAGATGCAAGGAGGAGATTGTGATCACTGCAATGAAATGATGAGTGTAAAACTGATGTTCTCCCATGTAAACATAATTCACAATAAAAACTTAAAAAAAAAAAAAAAAGAGAGAGAGAGAGAAAATGGCACAAATGACCAAAATGCAGATCTAAAAAAACATTTCTGGATAACAGGTAATGGAACCATCGGAAAAAGATTTCAAAAAAACGATATTTAGATACCTAAGAAAATCCTGGTGTGGTACTGTGGGTTAATGTGCTGGACTGCAAAGTTGCTTTGAACTTCAAAGGTGACAGTTCAAACTCACCAGCTGCGCCTCAGAAACCCTATACAGGTTTTGCTATGGGTCGGAATCGATTTGACAACACTTAACAACTACAACAACAACAAAGTATTGACAGAAAGATCAAGGAAAGCAAGAATACAGGGAAACACTGCAAGATAGACAAAAAATACAGAAATTTTGAAATAATAATAACCTTGCAATTAGAAATCCAGAAGATTAATACTAAGATTTCAGAAACGGACGTTACGTTGAAAGGTCAAAGGAATAGATTAGAAACAATGGAAGCCCAAATTAATGAGCTCGAAGATAAATCTTCCAATACTAGCACACTAGAAGAACAATCAGAAAAAGAATGAAAAAATCTGAAGACAGCCTAAGAATTATGTGGGAAACCATGAAGAGGAACAACTTAGATAATCAGAATTCCAAAACAGAAAGAGAATAAAAAGCACAAAGAAAACTGTCAAAGAGTTGTTGGAAGAAAAGGTCCCCAACATCATGAAAGATGAAAAGATAAGCATACAAGAAGCTGAACAAACCCCAAAAAGGATAAGTCCCAAAAGAAAATCACCAAGACATATCATAATCAAACTTTCCAAAACCAAAGGCTAGGAAATAACCCAGAGAACTTGAGAAAAAAGAAAAGTTACCTACAAAGGAGAACCAATAAGGCTAAAAACTGATTTCTCAGCAGAAATCATGCCAGAGAGAAGGCAATGGGAGGGTATACACAAAAGAACGAGAGAAAAAATTTTAAACAAGGAATTATATACCCAGTAAAGCTGTCGCTCAAATACGATGGTGAAATTAGGATATTTCCAGATAAACAGAAACTAAAGGAATTTGTAAAAACAAGACAAAAACTTTAGAGAATAATGGATGCTCTTAGGACTGAGAACTGACAATAACCTGAGATTAACATACACCACCCCCACCCAAAACTCAATCCAGATATACAAGCATTTAAAGTAAAACAAGCCTACAACATCGAATATAGGGAACCAGAGATATCAATTTATAATGAAGTCAACTATAAAGCAAAAAGAGGGAATAGTGTAGATACAGAATTTCCAAATAGAGAGTAAGTCCAGTAGATTTCAAGATAAAACAGGCTGCTTTTAAGCAGAAATTTAAAAAAAATAAATTACAGGGTTAACCTCAAAGAAAATGAATACATCTTCACATCAAAATGAAAAAGAGAAAAAAAAAACAGAAAGATTTAGTAAACATTAACATCACAGAAATTAAGGAAATAAAAACCCACAAACAAAATGAACTCAGCACAGAAAATTATGTGGAACAAGGAAATCAGCAGCATCACAAAAAAAAACCACAAAAAAAATGTAACAATGAATTCATACCTATCGATAAGTACACTGAATATAAATGGATTAAATGCACCAGTCAAGAGACAGAGAGTAGCAGGATGGACAAGAAAATGATCAATATGCTGTTTATAAGAGATACACCTTACATAAAAAACACAAACTCAAAATCAAAGGATGAGAAAAAATACATCAAACTAATGGCAATAAAAACAAGGAGTGGCAATTTTAATCTTTGATAAAATAGACTTTGCAATAAAAACCCGCCTAAGAAAAGTTGTTGTTATGTGGCGTGGAATCGGTTCTGACTCATAGCAACCCTGTACAGGGTTTCCGAGGCTATAAATCTTTAGGTGAGCAGAACACCTCATCTTTCTCCCGTGGAACAGCTGGCAGTTTTGAACTGCCAACCTTGAGGTTCACAGCCCCATCTGTAACCACTACGCTATATAGCATAATTAAGGGGCCGATTGAACAAGAGAACATAACCTTAATAAATATCTATGATCCCAATGGAAGAGTCTCAAAATACATAAATCAAACTCTAATAAAAACTGAAGAAAGAAAAAGACAACTATACAATAATAGCTGTTGTTGTTAAGTGCCATCGAGTTGGTTCCGATCCATAGAGACCCTGTACAGGGTTTCTGAGGAGCAGCTGGTGAGCTTGAATCGCAGATCTTGCGGTTCAAACCAACTTTGCAGTCCAGTGCAATAACCCACAGCGCCACTCCTACAGTAACAGTACGAGATTTTAATACATGACTTTTGATTAAGGATAGAACTAGAAAGAAACTCAACAAAGACACAGAAGAGCTAAATAAACAACACAATCACAAAGACACAGAAGCACTAAACAACATAATCAACCAACTTAAACTCATATACAGATCACGTGACCCAACAGCACAATATACTTTCTTTCCCAGTGCATATGGAACATTCTCCAGAATAGACAACATGTTAGGCCAAAAAGCCAACCTGAATAAATTTACATATATCAAAATACTAATCTTTTTTTCAGATCACAATGATATAAAATTAAAAATCAACAATAAGATGATCAAGGAAAACCAAATCAGATACATGGAAGTTAAACAACACCCTGCGGGACTCTAAAATGGTGCAACCTCAGACATGCGCTTTCTCAAAAGGTCGAAATTAGAAATTCCAGATGACCCAGCAATCCCTCTACTTGGTATATATCCTCAAGAAATAAGAACTGTGACATGCTAAGCACACCCATATTCACTGCAATACTAGTCACAATAGCAAAAACATAGAGACAACCTAAATGCCCATCAACAGAAGAAGGGTTAAACTTTGGTACATTGGTACATACACACAATGGAGTATATGCAATCAATAACAAAGAAGCTGCAAAACACCTCACAACATGAACAACCTGGAGGATGTTATGCTGAGTGCAATTAGTCAATCACCAAAGGACAAATATTCCACGAGACCACTGTTGCAAAAAGTTTAGAAAAAAATTTTCTTGCTAAATGAAACACTCTATGATGGTTACAGGACAAGTGGTGGGGAGGGAAAAAAAGTGAATAAAGGTAAATACTGTTAACTGATGGTACATGGAGGGGATTGTAATCATTTGACTGACACAAAGTGTGTAATTTATTGAATGTGGGACCAATGATGTGTTCTGTAAACATTCACTCAATTCACAATAAAGTTTAAAAATAAAACAAAACTTTGAAGTGTCATCAAGACTATGATTATGTAGCTATCTGAATAACAAAAAAACCCCTCAGTTCCCTAGAGTGGAAGAACATTGCCTTTCTACTGTACTGACCACTGTGCTGGCAAAGTGAGCGACCCAGTGCCGTTCTCCAAGGGACAGCCACTCCCCACTCTAGTTGGATCTTCTAAACAGAGCAGGGGAAATGGTAAAGCCATGGTAGAGCTATATGTTTAAGAAGCCTGGTGGCACAATGGTTAAGCACTTGACTGCTAGCCTAAAGGTCAGCAACTGGAATCCACCTGCCATTCTATGGTAGAAAGATGTGGTGATCTACTTCTAGAAAGATTACAGCTTAGGAAACCCTTTGGAGCAGTTCTATGTCCTATAGGGTCACCAGGAGCCCTGGTGTGGTGTTGCAGGTTAATGCACAGGACTGCAAAGTCAGTTTTAATCACAAGGTTGGTGGTTCAAACTCACCAGTCATTTCTTGGAAACCCCTATACAGGGTCGCTATGGGTTGGAACTGACTCAGTTAGCACTCAACAACAACAACAATATAGGATCACCATGAGTCAAAATACACGGCAGCAATGGGTTGGATTAGAGTTGTTGTCTATTAACTGTTGTTTGATGTCATTACGAAAACTACTTTTATTCCTTCCTAAATGGTGTCTTTGGAGTTCTGGTGTGGCACTGTGGGTTAATGCGCCAGACTGCAAAGCCTTTTGAACTGCAAGGACGGTGGGTCAAGCTCACCAGCTGCTCCTCGGAAAACTCTATACAGGGTCGCTATGGGTTGGAACTGACTCGACAGCACTTCACAACAACATAACATATGGTACCTTTAGAATTTTCAGGCTCCAACAGGTCAACGACTTTTATGTGTGTTTCTTTTATTCTCTCCTCCATCCTGATGCCTAGAGCAGTGCCTGGCACATAGTAGGCATTCAGTAAATGTGTGCCAAGTGAATGGCATTTCAGTTAACTAAGAAAGAAACTTAACTCTAAGAAACTTGACTTGATTTATCAAATATCAGGTTAGTTGGTGGTAGAGCCAGGGCCAGATGCAGTCCTCTAGATGTTCCTTACCAAGGAAAAGCCTGCAGGGCTCTAGGAGTAGAGTTTCTCAAAACTCCTTTTCCTTCTATATGTATCTCTATGTTTCTTCTACTGTTGCTGTTGTTTAGTAACCCTGCATAAGGTTTCTGAGGCTTTTTAAATCTTCTGCAGGAGCAGAAAGCTTCATTTTTCTCCTGTGGAGTGATTGGTGGGCTTGAACCATCAACTTTGTGATTCACAGTTCAGTGCTTAATTTCCCGATAGGCAAAGGCAGGTTGTCAAGTTTCTTGTGATAAGAGTGTCTGCATAAATAGCATTCACTGGCTTTGTTCAATTACTAACAAGAAACATTACACTGGGAGAGAAGAACAGCCCAAACAGGCAGTGCTTATTTGAAGTGGGAGCAGAAGCTGCCACAGGAGCACCTCTCTTACCGTAGCTGTAGCCCTTTGTTTGTTCTGGTGCCACCCAGCTGGTAAACTTTGGCAGTTTCCACAACACCCGTGATCTCAGCTACCTAAGTGACAAGGAGAGACACCATCAAAAACAGACTGTCAGATTCTAGCTGACTCAGTACAACAATAGCTATGTAGTGGGATATGAACAATCTTTATACTCTAAATCACAACGCTAATGTCCGACTTGCAGTTACACCCTCTAAAAATAACAACAGCAAAACAAACTGTCAGAGCTCCCCACACCATTCTTCCTAAGGGGCCTTGAGTAGCACAAGTGAGTTATGATATACTGTGAACTTAAAGGTTGGTGTTTCCAACTCATCCAGTGGCTGACCAGAAGAAAGGCCTGTGATATGTTTTTGTAAAGGTTACAGCCAAGAAAACCCTATGGAACAGTTCTACTCTGAAACACATGAGGTTACCAGTAAGCTGGGGCTGATTCAATGGCAGCTAACAACAACTACCCAGATAACAACAAACCAAATGCAGATGATTAGCCCCACATTGAGAGAAGCCATGAGCTGCCAGGTGTCCTAGAGACCTATTTTAGGTGGCCAAACACATGGTGAGCCATGTAAGCTCCAGGACAGAAGGCAGCCTGGTGGAGTCCATTAGACACTTCCCCTCTGTGATATTTAAGGTTTTGTGTCAACTTGACTAGGCCATGATTCTCAGTGATTTGGCAGTTAAAACACAGTAATTCCTTATAAGATCTAGTATAAGTAATCACCTCCATGATCAGATCTGCTATGAGCAGCCAATCAATTGAAAGGAAGTTTCTTAGGGAGTGTGGCCTGCAATACCTTTTATCTTATAAGAAATAAGAGGGAGCAGTAAGCAGAGAAAGAGGGACCTACAACCACCAAGAAAGAAGAAGCAGGAGTGGAATGTATCCTGTGGACTTTGGGTCCCTGCACTGTGAAGCTCCTAGATCCAGAGAACACTGATGCCAACACACACAAAGATTTCAAACAATGTTGGGCCTACAGATGCTGAAAGGAGACAAGGACCTTTCTCCAGAGGCGACAAAGAGAGTCTTCACCAACAGCTGACACCCTACAGATGCTGAAAGAAGACAAGGGCTTTTCCCAAGAGTCGACAGAGAGACAAAGCTTTCCCCTAGAGCTGGCACTCTGAATTTGGACTTCCAGCCTCCTAAACTGTGAGAGAATACATTTATTTGTTAAAGGCATCTACTTGTGGTACTTTCGTTACAACACTAGAAAACTAAGACATTTGTAATTGGATTCTATTTTACTAGGGGATATTATATTACCCAAATGTGAAGATCATCAAGTTTTATAGGATATGGCATGGTTAATGGTACTCACAGAACGAGTTAAGATGTTAAAACCAAACAGCTCAGAATAAAAGGTGTGTGTGTATGGGGGTCAAATAGCTATGTTCTAGCCACCTAGACCATAACAGCAGTGCTGGACCATACATAGCAACTTCTATTACACTGGAGGTATTTTATTATTTTTTAAAATCTCAATACAATTTTCCATTCCAGATATCTTTTGGTATGAGCCATTTCTATGTATTTACTTTTCCAATGAATAAATGCTCTAGATTATTAAAGTTCCATCATATACTTCTTTCTCCCTGTTACAGTGAAGGAGGATAAAGAAAATTATTCTCACTCTAAACCCACCCGTCCCTTGGGCTCCAAGTATTCTTCCTGGCAGCAGGTCATGCATGATCCTTGGTCACTTCAGACTGTCACTATTCTGTGGACATCTCAGTTGGAGTCTGTTTCCAAGTGAAATGATGGCAGAAGAGCAATAGATTTGTTCAGATGACCGAGTCAAAATTCCATTTAAAACACAGACAATTGTCCAAAGACAGAAATACCAACCCGGTAAACTGGTTTGCTGTTGTGGTTTCCAATGCCAATCCGTACAAAGCATCCTGTTACGGTTTTAGCAAAGAAGGGCATGTGACACCAACGTTCCAGCTTATGCCGTGATAACCGAACCCGATTTAATTCTTCAGGTAAGGAAACTGGTTGTGATTTAGGGGGAATTTCTTCTTTCCTGCAAGAAACAAAAGGGCACTGGGAAAGAGGCTCATTCTAAAAAACAGATCAAGATAAATAAAAAATGCCTATGCCTCAAAACTTGTATATGTGATTAAGCCAGTAGGAAAAATTAATGAAGCAAAAATTAATGAAAAAAATTCTAACAGAATTCTTTTCCTAACCAGTAGTGTGAACTGTCTTGAGTGAGGATGTAACAAGAAAACATGTTACAGCAAGAAAATAAATGAAGGTCCCTGACCAACTTCAAAGAGACAAAATGTCAGTTCCTCCCTGTTAGGCCCAGATTGGGTACACACTGAATGAGAGCCAGAGGCAGGAAAAATGAACAGGTTGATGTGATGTGATGGAAAACTCAGTTAAGCAAGTCAGGGTACTGAACCAAAGTTCAAAGGCCAAACAGATATATTGAAGCAACTACCCTAGGCTTCTCAAAGAAGCCACCAATCCTGACTACTAGATCACTTACTCTTCTTCTTCATCAGATGATGATGTTCGGGATGAACGGTCTGACTTTTCACTAGACTTGTCATCCTCTTCCTCTTCCTCATCATCAGAGTAGACCTCACTGGTTTTTAATGGCTGTTTTTTGGCGAGGAGTTCAGCTAAAAAATAAAAGGGGAAAGCTTTTCCTAGATTCTCTAATAAATTCAAAAAAATAAAAAAAACTTTCATCCTTGAAATGGCAAGGAAAAACAACTCAAACAGCTCTGCTCTCTTTCTGGACTGATTTGTGACTAACTTGGGATAGCTGAGGGTAAGTCAAAAAGTACTGCTACAGGTTCCAGTTGACATAGGCATGGGTTCACAGAGACATAATATGTTCAAACATGTCTCTGTGATCAGTGGATGACTGTAAACAAGTTCTCACAGTAATCCACTTGTCTCAGTCTTGTTAGGGTACCTTCAAGCAAACAAACAAAAAAAGGGTTGCTTTTTGTGCCAGGGAAGATTATTCTGAGATCTGGGTTAGAAGCAAGATTTTAACAAAACTCAAAACTCTTCCCAAATACTATGCTTTCAGCAAGTTTATGGTAATGCTACCCTACATAAAACAATTTTTAGATGGAGCAAACATTTTAAAGAAAGTTTAAAAAATCTTAAAGATGAATTCAAGGCACAGAAAGAAGTCAGTTCAGAAGGTTGTAACAACAGGTTTTTTTGGATTCCCATAATATTGATTAATTTTCTCAAAGGCCACAGGACACAATCATAGGGGTTAATTATGAAGAAGTTTTAAGAAAAATCTTTCCCATCACAATAATGTACATGGCTTATTCTTCAAGGGTTGTACCCTAAGAGAATTTCATTGGAAAGCTTAGCCCCCCTTCCACCCTGTATCCCCGATCTTGCCCCTTTCGATTTATTTTGGTTCCCAAAGCTCAAAGAATATTGAAGAGGAAACTAAGTCCCTCAAGGATGCCAAAACTGCTGTTTTGTCGTGGTACAAATTGAAGACCACAGAGTTGTTTGGGGGAAGGTTCAGAGAGATGAAAGCACCACCTTCAGAAGAGTATAGACCTACATGGAGAATATTTTGAGAAACAACAGCTTCACATTTTAATAAAGATTTCTATGATTTTTGTAGTAATATTTTTTAACTTCCCTCCTACACAGAAGTGAGGACACTGAAGAGTTCAAATCATTCAGGCACCAACAGACAAAAAAGGGAGGAATTGTTACCTGCTAGACAGAAAACATCACCAATACTACTGACAGTTGTACTTTCTGTGTTTAAGCCATAAGGGAGGAAGGGGGGGGGGGGCATGTTTTCAGAGATTCTTTGGGGGAACTTCGAATTCTGATAGCAGAAAGCTAAAAACAACCCAAGTGTCCGAAATAGTAAAGTAGGTAAATCATCCACTGGACTACTATGCACCTGTAAGACAGAAAGGAGACTGAGCTTCTGTGAAGAATGGAGTCTTGATGGTTGCATAACATTATGAAAAGTAATGTCACTGAATTGTACATGGAAACAAAGTTGTACTAGAAAATTTCTGTTATATGTATATTTACCACAAAAATAAATGAATATATATATATATATTTTTAAAAATAAGACAACTCTGTATCAATAGTGCAAAGTGTTATCTTAAAGGTCCATACAGTAAATGTTTTAGGCTTGTGGGTCATATGGTCACTATTCTTACTATTCAACTTGTGCTGCTGTGGATAAAACTACTAGACAATATACAAAAGAATGTGTATGGTTGTATTCCAATAAAACTTTATTTACAAAAACAGGAAGTCTTTCAATATTGCTCTGTATACAAATAGGAAAAGATCTCCAGGATAAATTTAAGTGGAAAAAGGAAGGTAGAGAGAAGTATATACGGTATGCAACCATTAATTAATCTAAGATGAGGGTAAATTTGTGCCTTCATGTGGTTTTTGGTTTGTTTTTTTTTTCCTTGTTAAGGAAGAACATAAAAAATTATAATGGAAGAGAGGAATCGGGTTAAACAGACAAATATAAAAGCTAAACCTTTTTATTTACCTTACTTAGATTTCACTTCAGTATCATCTAAATATATTAAGCAAGCATTAAAAATCTTTATAAAAAGTCATCTGTAAACACCAAAAAAATATAAAACAAAGGAACTAAACTGCATGTTCATTTGATGGTATTTTATTTTTGTTGTTGTTAGGTTCTGTCAATTCCTTTCCAACTCACAGCCTTCCCGTGTACAACAGAACGAAACACTGGCCCTGTACCATCCTCACAATCACTTCCATGTTTGAGTCCACTGTTGCAGCTACTATGTCAACTAGTCTTATGGAAGATCTCTCTTGTTTTCTCTGACCTGGACCCTTCTGATTATATAGTCCCAAACATATGTGAGATGAAATCTCACCATTCTAGCTATACTTCTTTTAAGACAGATGTGTTTGTCCATAGTATATTTAATACTCTCCTCACCAAAACCATAATTCAAAGACATCAATCTTCTTCAGCCTTCCTTATTCATTATCCATCTTTCATATGCATGCAGTGATTCAAAGTCACTGCATGGTCAGGTGTATCTTAATTCCTCAAAGTGACATTTTTTTGCTTTTTAACCCTGTTACGTGCCACTGAGTCGATTCTGACTCATAGCAACCCTGTATAAGGTTTCCAAGGAGCAGCTAGTAAGTTTGAACAGCTGATCCTGTGGTTCAAACTGACCTTGTGGTCCAGTGCAATATCCTGCAATGCCATACTAGGACTCCTTTAACCCTGTAGTGCAGTGAATTACTTAATATGACTGTTCTAGTCATAGTCTTTTAAACTCCCGCCAAACTGGTGGAACCATGTGAATTAGGTGTATTTCCCTTTTCTGATGAAGAGAAGATGATGATAATTTTATATGATTCCGTTAATGAATGGTTGTTAACAGCGTTACTACCACCAAGAAAGAAGAGTCAGGAGTGGAGTGTATTTTTTTGGACCCCAAGATTCCACCTGCATGTTAGACCTCCTGAATCCAGGAGACAAAGAGCTGTAACACCAGAGAAGCAACAGCATCAGCAGAACCAAGAGACAGAATGGTGGGCTTCCTGACCCCCAGAGCTAATAAAGCTGAGTGACTGACTTCAGGAAGGAGGCCTGCTTGCATAGTAAGGTACCCCCAAGCACTTAATTGGGGAAGCTAAGTTTACTGATCCAGGGGAGTTAGAGCTGAGCACCTTTGGAATAAGGTTTATGGTGGAGTGGTGTACTCTATGGGCATTTATCAGTAGCATTAAAGGAGATTCGTAATATTGACAGAGCAAGGAAAAGGCCAGGCCAAGGGGCAGAGGGCCCGAGAGAGGTGTGCCTGAGGGTATGGCTGAGAAGAGACTGTCCTGATCAAAGAACTGTATCCTGAATATTTTGGATCCTGAGTTGGAACCTGTTAACTTCCCTAGTATGCCCCATACTGTAAGTGTGGCATCTGAGTTCTGTATGGCCACTGCAATGAATTTTATCAGAGTAGAAGTAGAGAGTGCCGTGATGCAAGGTTGGTATCAGAATTGTTAAAGGAGGAAAGAAGATGGAGGCTTGTCTGACTTCTGCCTCATAAGATGGGTGGATGTGGAGATGAATTTTCCTTTACCCTTGTGAAGTCAGACAAGGTTTGATGACACTGTCATGCCATTTGGGGTGGGGGTGGGGAGTAGGAGTAAAGAATCAGGGTTACAACTATGGATAGGTCTAGGCTAGGCCCAGTGCTCAGTTTCGTTTTAAGGCTATGGTTACGACTAGTAGTTGGGCTACGCTTGGTCTAGTTTTAGGCTTTTTATTTTTCTTGAAATCTTCTTGATTTCCTCTTTATCTGGAATTCCTATAACTACATCATTCCCTATTTTTACTTTATGTGTTTTTGGGGTTTTTTTGATGGGGGAGAGGGTTTACAAACTGATATCTCTGGTTCCCTATTTTCAGTCTGTAGGTTTGTTTAACTTTGAATTCTTCTATATGTAGGTTGTGTTCTGGGTGATACTGTCACACATGTTAATCTCGGGATATTACTGTTTGCTGTTATTCTGTGTCCAAATAACTTCATTATTTTTATAAGATTAGTCCGGTTTACATGAATTCTTTCAATTTCTGTTTACCTAGAAATGCTATATTTGATGGGTATATGATTCTTGGTTGGCATTTTTTTTTTTCCTTTCAGGATTTTATCATCCAATTGTCTTCTGGTTTCCATGGTTTCTGCTCTGAAATCAGAGGTTAACTTTACTAGTTCTCCTCTGTATGTAACTTTTTGTTTTCTGCAAACTGCTCTCAGAAAATTTTCCTTGTTTTTGGTCTAAAAATTTTTGATGATAATATGTCTTAGTGATTTTTTTTTTGGGGGGGGGGGCATCTATTCTGTTTGTCAACTCTTAGCGTGCTGTCAGATCAGCACAGGGCTTCGAACCACACCGTTGGCAGTTTGAACTCACCAACTGCTCCTGGAAATCTTATGTAGGGTCTCCATGAATCAGAAGTGACTTGACAGCACAACAACAATGATTCTGTTTGAAGAGTCCTGGTATGGCACTATAGTGTAAGTACTGTATCACAAAGTTGGTGTGAACCACAAGGTCGGCAGTTCAAACTCACCAGCTGTTTCTCAGAAACCGGGTACAGAGTCACTATGAGTTGGAACCAACTCAACAGCATATAACAACATCAGGAGTTGCATATTTTCTTGTCTTTCTTGATATTACAGAAGTATTCTTCCAACAACTCTTCAGCAATTTTCTTCCCCCCCCCCCCATTGTGGGATTACAATCACACTTAAGTTATTCCTCTTGATAGTGTCCCTCATAAATCTTAAGCTTTCTTTATATTTTCATTATTGTTGCTCATCTCCAGCAGATGAATACTGAGAGATTTATCTTCAAGCTAACTAATTCAGTCTGATTCAATTCTACTTTGTTGCTTTTCAATGTATTATCTATTCCTTAAGTCTTAACACTAATCTTCTAGCTTAGTCTAATTGCTGTTTTAGTATGATTGCCAATTTGTTCTTGTAGTGTTTTCTTAAATTGCAAATAAAGTTTTGTCTGTTATTTTCCTTGATTTCATTTGTAGTTTTCTCAATCATTCTTTCAATCCATTGATGGTATCTCAGTATAATTCTAATCAATTCCTTATCAAGAAGTTCTGGTATCATTTCTGGCATTGTATTTTTTTACTCTGTATTTTAGTCATTTGAGGCCCTCTGTATTGTTTCTTTGCATAAGTTCAAATTGCTTGTTTTCTCCAAGACATCGTGGAGTCACTGCATTTATATTTCATTGATTGTATGTTGGTGTGTTCTCAGAGACACAGCACCTGTCTCCTGGTTGCTGTGGCTGAAAGTGTGAATGCACTTCTCTGCTTGCTGTTTATGTAGTGTCGTTTAGGACAGGTTCACGTGCCTCCAGAAGAAGGGGTGGTATGTCCAGGTCCAGATTCTAGGTAGAACAGAGGCTGTTCAGGAGGGGTTTGTTATTAGCTGTTGGGCTGGTGAGAACAGGGACCGGCCATGTTCCAAGCTACCAGGATGATACAGGGAACAAGTGAGAACCACACTCCCTTGCCACCAACCTCCAGTCCCATGCTGTCCTTCCAGGCCAGTGTATAAATATTATTGCTGTTAAGTGCCTTCAATTTGGTTCCAACTCATAGTGACCTAAATAGAGTTTTCAAAGAGCAGCTGGTGGGTTTGAACTGCCAACTTGTGGATCAGAGTCCAGTGCTGATCCTACAGCACAACACCAAAGTCCAGTGTATCAACAGCAACCCACAAAAGCTCAAGATGGCTATGACACGCCAGGCCAGCCAACAGCCCACCTGTTTTTCTTCTCTCTTGCTGTTCCTGTTCATCTTTCTCTTCCAGTCAGCATTCAATATACCTCTCTGTCCTATCCACTGAAGCGCAGGGGTTCCAGAATCATCATCTCTAATGGTTTCACTTGGTCTCCCACGTCCTTGTTGCATCAATTCTATTCAGTTCATCTGCCTGTTTTGCCATCTTGCCTTGGATGTCCCCGTTATGTTTTTTTTTAAAACAAATACGGTATTAAAGACAGAGGTCTTTTGCAGATTTGTCCAATGCAACATGTCATATGATTTTTTAATTATTGCTTGTGTGAATTTTCATTGTGGATCAAGTAAAATGAAATCTTTGACAACTTTTAATACTTTTTCTGTTTTTCATGATGCTGCTTATTGATCCAGTTGTGGGGATTTTTGTTTTCTTTGTTGAGGTGTAAATCCATACCGAAGGCTCTTTTATCACTAAGTGCTTCCAGTCCTCTTCACTTTCAGCAAACAACACTTGTCTACATAAGTCTGCAGAAATGAAGTACAACAAGTGACTTTTTTTTTTTTTTTTAAAACAAAGTCACTTGACTGTATACTCCTAAGGGGACAAAGTTTACAAGTAAAAACCTTAAACTAATTTTGGCAGCCATATTGTTGATAGTGTATTGATGGTTTCATTCTGATACTGGTGACTTGTGGGATAAATCTAAGGACTAATTATGATAGCATAATTAAGAATCAGAATTTTGGTGTTGCAGAATGTGGTGCTACTGTTTTAAGACTGATGAGATTAATTTAAAATCCTGAGTTTCAACAAACAATGCTAGAAAACAAATGTATAAAGTCAAACCTCTTCCTCACAACATACACAAAAATTAACTCAAAATGGATTTTAGGCCTAATTTAGCAGCTAAAACTATAAAATGCTTAGGAGAAAGTAAAGGAATAAATCTTTACAGCCTTGGGTTAGAAAAAGACTTCCTTGATATCACATCAAAAGCATAGGCAACAAAAGACAACATTAGGTAAACTGCATGGCATGTGGATTGTATCTCAATAAAGCTGCTATAACAAAGCAAAACAAAAACTCTGGGTTCCTGAACTTGAAATATCAGCATGAGGCTCATAATGTCTTTTTTATCCTCTAAAAAACATACAAACCACCAGCCAACCAATTCCTAGCTCCGCACATAGAAAGGGCTAAGCGGATAGCATGAGCATTCCTTGTGATCAGACTGTGGTCTTTGAACTCAGGTGTCTCAATGAAAAGGAGCCAGGGTTCCTTAGAAAAATGGAGATTCCAAATTCAATAAATGAAGAAATTATCAATGGCTACTGAGGTCTCTTGTCAAAAGAACTTCAGGCTACAAACGGCTAAAGATAGGACAATTTGATTATCAACAATAACAATAATGATTAAAACAAAATGTGTTAAAGTTCATTAATTTATACATATATTTAAGTAAATAAGCCTCATTAGTTATGCTTGGAAGTTCTTAAGGAAATATCTCATTCTTTAGAAAATTGATAAATAAAATTAAAATACCATTCATCCTGTCTTACAACATTGGGGTAGCTAAATAGCTGATGAGAAGTTTCTCTTTATAGAAACAGACCAGTTAATATCAAAGAAAAATTGACAGATTATATTATCATTATATCACTCCTAAAAAATTAAATAATTACAGGTAGATTACTCAATTAGCAAGGTAAGTACAAGCTTACTTTGCTAACTTACTAACCTGTAGTGAACAACTTTACATTTTTTCACATTAATGATTCTGCTTCTAGATACAACTGGTATATATCTCTCTCCCAACCCCAATACAATAAAATCTCTTTTCAAATTTATAATCCCTAACAGGAACAGAGTGCCTGGTAAACAAAGTAAGCACAAGCTGACTTATGCTTATTTACTAATCTGTACTAAACAATTTCCATATGAAACAGTTTACCCATTTAAAACGTACAAGTCATACATACCAAAGACATAAAAGAGCCATTTTATTTTCCGTTACCTGTTCGGTTCTTCCGTTTTTCTCGCTCTGCTTTCAGCTCCTCCATTGCCTGAGATTTCTTATCTAGTTTCTCATCCCGTTTGGAACGCCGTTCCTTGTTGTGGGATGTTACCTGTACCAACAACTGATAATGAGATTCTTTATAATGAGCAACTGAATCATATACAGTACTCTCTAGTGTGACTATATTGGCTAGAGAAGGGACAAGAGCATCCTCTTGTGGGCAAAGAATATAAGGCAGTAAAGTCATCCAGTCTTACATCTACCTAATAAACAAGCTTGCTAGCGTTATTAAGTGCCATTGAGTCAGTTCCAACCCATAGTAACCTGTACAGGACCTCTAAGAAGCAAACCTTGTGGTTAGCAGATCAGTGCTTATCCTCCACTGTTACATCAGGACTCTCTAAGAAACAAATTTAAGATATCAGAATAAACTCTTTCTTGGAGAACATCTAAATTATAGGTATTCATTTTTGTTCATACTACTAACAGAGCTTTTCATGATGAATGCAGAGAAGCCTAATATTTCCAGCAATATTTATTACCAAATTCAAGGTGACTTCTTGTTGTTAAGTGCCGATCCATAGTGACTCTGTATAGGGTTTCCAAGGAGCAACTGGTGAGCTTGAACTGCCAACCCTGCAGTTCAAATGGCTTTGCAGTCTGGTGCATTAACCCATAGTGCCACACCAGGACTCCCTATACTTGGGTAAATATAACCAACCTGGCTATCTGTGACAGGATGTTTACCAATTTTCCATTAAGAGATTCCAACAGGCCAGGGGACTGCTTTTTAAATGTAGACTTTGGCAAAGTAAAGAAGTCCTAAAGAGTTACACAGTACAGCCAAATATAAAATGATAAAATATATTCAGAGATTAATGAAACCTACAGGCAGTTCGAAACTACCAGCCATTCCACAGGAGACAGATGAAGCTTTCTGCTCCTGTAAAGATTTACAGCTTTGGAGGCCCTGTGCAGGGCCACTATGAGTTGGAACCGACTCCACAGTACTTAACAACTCCACAGTACTTAACAACAGAGTGTAAAGAGAACACAATAGTTTTGCATAGCTGACCGAGACTGATTAATATACACCTATCTTTTACATGGAAGGAGCTCTGGTAGCGTAGTGGTTACAAATTGGGCTGCTAATCTCATGGTCAGCAGTTCGAAACTACCAGCTGTTCCACAGGACAAAGATGAGGCTTTCTGCTCCCATACAAATTTACAGCCTTGGAAACCCTATACAGGGTTGCTATGAGTCGGAATCGACTCCACGGCACACAAATCATCTTTTACATGGAGTCCTGATGTGGTGCTGTGGGTTAATACGCCAGACTGCAAAGCCATTTGAACCTCAATGTCAGTGGTTCAAGCTCACCAGCGCTCCTCAAAAACCCCATACAAGGTCACTATGAGTCAGAACCGACTTGACGGCACTGAACAATAAATCTTTTACATAAACACACATTCAAAACAAAGGTCTTAACTCTTTAGATAAGGTGGTGGTGGATGTCAGTTTTTCCAAGTTATAGCAACCCTATACAGGGCTTCCGAGGCTATAAATCCTAGTGGCTGGTGGACTCAGACTGCAGACCTTGCAGTTAGCAGCCCAATGTGTAACCCCTACACCACCAAGGATCCTTCTTTGGACAAAGAGGATCACGAAATTTCTTACCTGAGATTCCTGAATCTGGGTTAGCTTTTTCTTTTCCTGCTCTTCTTCTTGTTTTTTCTTTTTTTCTTTCTTTTCTTTCTTTTTGGCTGTTTTTAGTTTTTTCTTAATTTCAAATCTGGTTAAAAGATAGTTATTTGATTTTTGAATATCAATGAAATATTTACAAAAACTTACTTCTATGAGATCAGAGAAATAAGGTAATAAATATTTTGTCTCTGGCAATAAACACCAATATAACTTTGAAGTACATTAAAAAACCCAAACAGATATATGTCAAACACATTTGAAAGCATTAAGCTGAAATAAATTTTAAAAAGGAGAACATATTCAGGATACTGTTATACTTGTCTTAAGACTTTGGCAACAAACAACTCTCCCCCAACCTTCCCACAGCAGAAGAAAATAATTCCTGGATCGATTTAGGTAGCAAACTCCATTGGTGTTTTGTTAGAAATAGAACAAGGCCACAGAAAGCCAAAGTCATACTAAAGGTGGTCAGGACAAAAGCTATATATTTTTAACATAAAGATACCACTTTCCATCTTTCTTCATTAAGAAACCCACCCCCATCCCTTATAAACTTGTACATGAATATGCTATTTTCTTAACCAAATATAATTTAGGCTACCTTCCCATAACAAAAACTCAAGTTCTTGTGAAACAAAAATCATGTTTTATAATTTTAAGGTACTTTACAGAATAAAGGACTCTAATATACATTACAACAGAACCTAAAATACTAATAATTTTTAAATATTTTTAAACTAATGCTCTTTTCATTCATTATTAAGCATGATAATATATTTTAATAAGAGTATTGTTATGAACTTACTTAAAATTATTAATAATTAAACAACATATTCATAAATGGGTCAAAAAAGAAATCATAAAGGCATTTAGAAAATATTTGGAGAAGAATGGAATGAATACACAACATACCAAAACATATGAGATGCAGCTAAAGCAGTGCTTAGGAGGGAAATTTATAGTTGTAAATGCCTATGTTAAAAAAGAACAGAGATCTCAAATCAATAATCTCACCTTCCACCTTAAGACACTGGAAAAAGAGCAAACTACATGTAAAGCAAGCATAAAGAAAGAATAAAGATTAGGGTAGAAATTAAACAGAAAACACAAAAACAATAGAAATAATGAAATTAACTTGATTCTTTAAAAAAAATCAATAAATTTGACACAATACATGCTATAACATGGATGAACCATAAAAACATGCTAAATGAAAAAAGTCAGACACAAACGGTCATATATGACTCTATTTATATAAAATGTTAAGAAGAGGCAAATCTACAGAAACAGGGAGTAGATTAGTCACTGTCTAGAGCTAGAGGACTTGGAAGGAATGGGAGTAATTGCTAATGGGAACAAAGTTTCTTCTGAGTGGATGAAATCTTCTAAAATTGTTTGTGGTGATAACTGTACACTTTGTGAATATACTAAAGCCCAATGAATTGTACATTTTAAATGGGTGAATCATATGGTATCTGAAATACACCTCAATAAAATTGTTTTTACAAGTTAATATTTGCTTATTATTAATTTATTACATATCATCTCAAGGCAAGAGAAAGCTTAGGCAGAAAGAATATGTGACTCATTCAGATCACTTGGCCAATGAGTCTGAATTGAGCCCAGATCTTCTGACTAAAAATGTCAGGGTTCCTTTAATGCTGCCTGCCCCCACCTAAAAACAAAACAAAATAAAACAAAAACTAAAAATAAAACAAAAACTCTATAAAGAATCTAATAACTGAAAATCATATTTTAACTACTGGTGCTGTTGGCAATAAAAGGGACTACTTAACAACAACAACAATAGTGTTTACACATAGACACACACAGTTATGACGACTAGTCAAAGAGATCCATATAAAGACTTTTCAGTGTGAGAAAGATGGAAATCTTTAGATTTCTCAGGTGCTATACTATACTGCTTTGTAGTTAAGCAAATGAGCTACAAAAATCTGAACTGTCTCAGTAAGGCTCTGAACCTTGGTCTTAATTATTACCACCTTAAACAGTCTTCTCATCACTTTGAAAATAAACAATACAAAACCACACAACAGCCAAATATCTCATTCATATAAAATTAAAACAAAAATTAAGTTTCAGACAAGCCATTCTTGAACTTACTCTGTGATTCTATTATAGTGTCCTATTGGCCTTATGGAGTCCTGGTGTGGCGCTGTGGATTAATGCGCCAGACTGCAAATTCATTTGAACTGTAAGGCTGGTGGTTCAAGCTCATCAGCTACTCCTCGACAACCCTATACAGGGTCGCAATGGATTAGAACCAACTCGACAGCACTAAACAACAACAAATTGGTCTTACGGAGTTTTGGTGTAGTGCTGTGGAATAATGCGCTAGACTGCAAGGTTGGTTTGAACCACAAGGTCAGTGGTTCAAACTCACCAGCCGCTGCTTGGAAATCCTACACAGGGTCACTATGAGTCAGAACTGACTTGACAGCATGTAAGAACAACACTGGCCTTATATGAGAACCTCTTGTTACACTCTCCACAGATCAGAAATACAAATTTTATTAGTCACCTCTGAACATTTGGCAGCCCTCAAACAGTTTAATTCTCATTTGTTTCAATACAGGAAACTTTGGAAGTATTCATATTAGGAACAAATTTCTACGTTAGCTGCCGACTTGAAAGCCAAACATTCTTGTCTAGCATAACTCACTATCCTTAAATGGACTCAACAAGGGGCAAACACTCCCCAATGAAATGGAACAAACTGCTGCCAAAGATAATGCTTATATTTTGCTCTATGATAATAAAAATAAAGCAGGTAGGGAAGGATCCTAATTCTGAGACTATTTTATTTCCTAAGTCAAAAATTATTGTGGATTGAGTGAAAGTTTACAGGGCATATCATCAGTTTTACATTTAACAAATAATACACCTTGTTTCATTATAATGATTATAATCCCCTCCATTTACCATCGGTTAACAGTTCTCTCTATTCACTTTAGCTTTTTTTTTTTTTTTTTTTTTAAAATAAAACAACACTCAGGCATATATAATAATCTATCTACATCTCCAAAGGGCACATTCTGCAAGTCCGCCTCCTGGCCACCAGCTCTTAGTCCCTCTCTTCTCAAGAATCCAGAGTCCTCAGCCGCTCCTCCTCTCCAATGACCCCATCTCTGGTGTCTGCTGCTTCTCTGGATAAAGTCCCGCATTCTGCTTGTGCTCTTCTCCCTTAATGGTCCTAGGGTCCTCTGTTTCTGGACTGTAAAACTAACTGCTCCCCTGCTTTTGTTACAAAACTTCAACCTTTACACTTGTGACAGTCACAATTAGTCATGATAACAGGTATTCACTATTGAATCATACGAATCTTATCCCCATCTCTTTACACCACACCCATCTAAACAAGATGAAAACTATTCAGTGGGGACCCTTTCTTTCCTCCCATACTCTTAAATAAACTCCCTCTTGAAATCTTGTAAGCCAGTCACTTTCTGCCTTTATCACCCCTTCATTTTAGGTAGCCAATGTCTAAGTTGCCCGTCCCTATATACCCTGTGTACAGAGGAGATAGCATTGATACTTGATGTGAAGACTCCTTCCCTCTCTGTTGGTATTTAGAGTTACCACCTCCACAAGTATAAGGAGCTCTGGTAGTGTAGTGGTTACGAATCAGGCTGTGAACTGCAAGGTCAGCAGTTCAAAACTACCAGCTGTTCCGTGGGAGAGAGATGAGGCTTTCTGCTCCTGTAAAGATTTACAGCCTCAGAAACCCTATACAGGGTCACTATGGGTCGTAACCGACTTGATGTAACTTAACAACAACAACCTCCATGAGTATAGGTCAGGTTCATCAAATTATTATTTTTTTTTTTTGTAATCCTCCTCTAGTTGAGTTCTGATTATCAAGCCATCAAGGCTAGGTCAAATGGGTACTGTCTGCAAGGTTGACTGCTCTTGTGCATCTCCCCTCACTTCTTTTCAGCTGGATGCTTCACTCTTAACTCTAGGCCCTCTACGGTTATGTCCTTGTCCAAGGGCTCAAGTGTCCCCAGGTTTCACCACACTTTGGACCAACCAGCCTTTCCTCTTCTCTCTCTCTCTTCTCCAGATCAACAGGAGTCAATGGACTGTGGTTGAACTCAGCCCATTTCTTCATTGCTGCCTTTCCCCATCTTCCACTCACCAGTAGACCACTGTGTTCACCAGCAAGTTTACATGCCTGTTCATGTGTTCCCTTTGAGTTTCAGTCTTAGAGGGGCGTTTGCCCTGAAGGAACTTGATTGATTGCCTTGATGGCTTCCTGGTGAACAGCCTGCTTATTCTTGTTACAGCAGCCAGTCAACTTGACACTTTGTTTTGTTTTTTTCCTGATGATCTTTCTTTGAAGATGTATCTTCTGTCACTGTAGCTGTTCCAGACTGATCTGCTTGTCCTTTCTAGTGGGGAAGTCCCACCTCAGAAGGTTCTGGATGGGACTCAGGATTCCACCTGAGGACCTATACTCTACAAAGGCTTTACACGAGGCCTATTTGACTGGGCAAGTTCTAGAACCCCTTTTAGGCTGAAGACGGGCTTACAAGTTTTCTCTAATGTTTCCCAACATTCCTTTCTATCCCACTCAAGTGTCTATTTTACAATAGGAGACAATGGAAACTAATATTCATAAGATAGTCAAGCATCTTAGTATTATTTCCCCTCTTCAAGCCATGCTTAGATCCCTGTATCCCACAGCCCTGTTGTTCCAAGGTTGAGCATGCATCACTATATCCCTCTGTCCCACTTAGGCCATGCAAACCTGTCTCAATGTTCCCCTATCTACCTTGCTCTTCCACCTCCTGCCCTTCTTGTATTGCCCTCCCCAACACCTGAACTGAACACCCCCACCCCAACTCCACTGTTGCGGTTACCTTATATTCCATTA